TCTACTAAACAATAGTAAAAGAAATCTAAGAACAAGGTATGCCAAACTTGAATTCATAAACTGGACAGACGGCTTAGAGCGTTCATCAGAAAACTATTCTGATTCTGATAGACTACTTTGCTGCAACCAAGTACTGGCATATGTGCAACGGTTTGGGAAACGATTCGGCCACCCTAACCGCTCCTAGTGGGTGCCATGGCAGCCTTGAAACTTGCGATTGATGTCGAGTCCACGGCGGCATTGTCCAGTTGGTTCCAAGCAATTATTGTTCGTGGGAAGAATGATTGTTTATATTAAACTGTGTTTCACCGAGGCACAGTGAAGCATTTACTATTGTTCCAGGTTTAACTGCTCATGAGGTTGTCAGAGGCGAAGTCAGTGTTTATTGAACGTTTGGCTCTGATTAAGCGACCTGGCTTCTGCGGGGTGAGATACGTGTTAGCTGGGATTAACGGCCTAAGCCCTGTGATCACTTTATAGAGAAATGCTAGACGGAGCTTATCTCGTCGGCCTTTGAGGAAGGGAATGTCAATTTTTTTAAGAGGTCAGTGACGAAGCTGGGAGTGGTGGGTTTGTAGTCACGTATGATGAAGCGCACTGCGTTGCGTTGTATTCGCTCCATCTTGTCCACGTCTTGCTTTAGGTATGGGTCCCAGATGATTGCACCATATTCTAGTAGCGGAAGGACGAGTGCGAGACAGGCATTTCGTTTGCAGGATGTTGGGCAGTGGCGCAGATTTCTTCGAATGAAACCAAGTGTGGAGTTTGCTTTTTATTTTAATTTGTTTATATGGGATGACCATTATAGATTATTCGAGAATTCCAAGGTATGGATTATTTGATACTTGTTGGAGAATGGTCCTGTTTTAGAGAGTACATATAGCTTGATGGTTTTTTTCTTGAGATGCTCATTGTGTAGCAATTATACATTATATTCGTTATACTTCTGTTTGTCTTGTTTTCTGATGAAGGCTCTAAGCCAAACGTCAAAATCATTTGTCCTGTTTATGAAATCAAGTTTGGCATACCTTGTTCTTAGATTTCTTCACACAACTTGAATGCAGTCCGTTAATTATTATCTTTTAAACCGTGGTAGAAATTTTTCCAAGGTTTGTTTAGCGATCAGAAAACTCAGTGTCTCCTGATCGGATTTGCTCTCTCACTCTCTCATAGGACAGCTGGTCTCGTTTGCTCTCTCACTGTCTCATAGGACAGCTGGTCTCGTTTGCTCTCTCACTGTCTCATAGGACAGCTGGTCTCGTTTGCTCTCTCACTGTCTCATATGAAAGCTGGTCTCGTTTGCTCTCTCACTCTCTCATAGGACAGCTGGTCTCGTTTGCTCTCTCACTGTCTCATATGAAAGCTGGTCTCGTTTGCTCTCTCACTCTCTCATATGAAAGCTGGTCTCGTTTGCTCTCTCACTCTCTCATAGGACAGCTGGTCTCGTTTGCTCTCTCACTGTCTCATATGAAAGCTGGTCTCGTTTGCTCTCTCACTGTCTCATATGAAAGCTGGTCTCGTTTGCTCTCTCACTGTCTCATATGAAAGCTGGTCTCGTTTGCTCTCTCACTGTCTCATATGAAAGCTGGTCTCGTTTGCTCTCTCACTGTCTCATATGAAAGCTGGTCTCGTTTGCTCTCTCACTGTCTCATATGAAAGCTGGTCTCGTTTGCTCTCTCACTGTCTCATATGAAAGCTGGTCTCGTTTGCTCTCTCACTGTCTCATATGAAAGCTGGTCTCGTTTGCTCTCTCACTGTCTCATATGAAAGCTGGTCTCGTTTGCTCTCTCACTGTCTCATATGAAAGCTGGTCTCGTTTGCTCTCTCACTGTCTCATATGAAAGCTGGTCTCGTTTGCTCTCTCACTGTCTCATATGAAAGCTGGTCTCGTTTGCTCTCTCACTGTCTCATATGAAAGCTGGTCTCGTTTGCTCTCTCACTGTCTCATATGAAAGCTGGTCTCGTTTGCTCTCTCACTGTCTCATATGAAAGCTGGTCTCGTTTGCTCTCTCACTGTCTCATATGAAAGCTGGTCTCGTTTGCTCTCTCACTGTCTCATATGAAAGCTGGTCTCGTTTGCTCTCTCACTGTCTCATATGAAAGCTGGTCTCGTTTGCTCTCTCACTGTCTCATATGAAAGCTGGTCTCGTTTGCTCTCTCACTGTCTCATATGAAAGCTGGTCTCGTTTGCTCTCTCACTGTCTCATATGAAAGCTGGTCTCGTTTGCTCTCTCACTGTCTCATATGAAAGCTGGTCTCGTTTGCTCTCTCACTGTCTCATATGAAAGCTGGTCTCGTTTGCTCTCTCACTGTCTCATATGAAAGCTGGTCTCGTTTGCTCTCTCACTGTCTCATATGAAAGCTGGTCTCGTTTGCTCTCTCACTCTCTCATATGAAAGCTGGTCTCGTTTGCTCTCTCACTGTCTCATATGAAAGCTGGTCTCGTTTGCTCTCTCACTGTCTCATATGAAAGCTGGTCTCGTTTGCTCTCTCACTCTCTCATAGGAAAGCTGGTCTCGTCTACCTAGCCCATAGGTCTATGCCTTGCACTGTCAACAGGTTTTACATCTGTTCACAAGCTGACCAAACATATATAGACTTGTGACATAGTGTTTTAGTTTTAGTTCAGAGTATTAATTCAGAAGTCTTACCTGATGACAACATTGAAATAAATAACAGGCCAACTACCTTAGCCTATAACATTAGATGTCATTTACTTCATGGCATACTAAAGTGTGCAGAGATAATCTAAGAGGAAGTCTAAACTCTAATGTTTTGTTTTGATGTTTGTGTCAGTGGGTTGAAGTGAACAGTTAGACTGCACACAAAAATTAGGGCGCACTCTTGAACGTTGAAAATTTGATGCGCAAAACAGGAGCAGTATAAGAAAATGAGGACATGTTAATGATACATGGATGTATTGATGTATCGATCAGTGCATGAATGTGTCTTTGGATAGATGGATATTTTAGTGTAAAGTTGAATTTATATATGGAGGGAGAGAGGGATAGATGGAGAGAGGGATAGATGGAGAGAGGGATAGATGGAGAGAGGGACAGCAGGGTGGATAGAGGAAAGGAGGGATGAAGGAGGAATGGGTGGAGAAAGGGAGGGAAGGTGATATAGATGAAAGAAGGGAGGGATGTTAGGAGGGAGGGGTATGGATGGATGGAAAGATGGATGGAAAGATACATGGATGGATAAATGGAGGGCTTTATGTGTGGATGGATTGATGAGAGGGATGGATGGATGGATGGGAGGCAGGATGGAGGTATGGATGGATGGGAGGGCAGGATGGAGGTATGGATGGATGGGAGGGCAGGATGGAGGTATGGATGGATGGGAGGGCAGGATGGAGGTATGGATGGATGAGGGGGGACAGATGGAGGGAGGTATGGATGGATGAGGGGGGACAGATGGAGGGAGGTATGGATGGATGAGGGGGGACAGATGGAGGGAGGTATGGATGGATGAGGGGGGACGGATGGAGGGAGGTATGGATGGATGAGGGGGACGGATGGAGGGAGGTATGGATGGATGAGGGGGGGACAGATACAGGTAGGAATGGATTGATGAAGGGATGGGGATATAGATATTGCTAGAGATACGGCTGATGTATGGATGGATGGAGGGAGAGGTGGAGGGTGGTACTGGTGGGTGGATGGATATTTGAGGAAAGGTTAGGGAGGGAGGTATGGAAGGTTGTATGGAAGGTTGTATGGAAGGTTGTATGGAAGGTTGTATGGAAGGTTGTATGGAAGGTTGTACGGAATGTTGTATTGAAGATATGGTTAGACTAAGAACAATTAAAAGGATGTTTTGGCGAGATGACTTCCGCAGCAGGAAATACACATTTAGAAATAACAGGTCCTTAACATTAATATAAAAAATTAAAACTCATGTTTTCAAAAACCTCAATAATGTCAATGTAGCTCAATGTTTGCAACAGGATTTAAGAACTCTGTGTTATTGTTAGAAAGGGAAGTTCCCATGCCACCCACATTGTTCTGTGGTGCGTACTATCAAGCAATCAAAATTGAAATAGGTATTATAATGTAAAAATTTTTAAACATAGAAAATTTAGAATAGAAATGGAGGCAAATTAAGGATCACTGGTTGGAGACTATTTCATTGATTACACATTGTGATATGGTAACAAAAATCTGAACCTATCAGATAGCCTTCATCCTGTCTTGCCTATTTAGCAGGAGCAGTATTTTTAGCAAACAGCACATGTATCACATTTCAATTCATGCATGAGGGTAAAGGTCCCCTTATGAAAGCCAATGTGTTTAGTCTCCAGTACCTAAGGGCAAATCTTGCAACGACTTCTTCAACATGTTCAAGTCCTAACGTGAGGGGTCGACCATAGGCATTGGATGGATGGATGGATGGATGGATGGATGGATGGATGGATGGATGGATGGATGGATGGATGGATGGATGGATGGATGGATGGATGGATGGATGGATGGATGGGTGGATGGATGGATGGATGGAGGGATGGATGGATGGATGGATGGATGGATGGATGGATGGATGGATGGATGGATGGATGGATGGATGGATGGATGGATGGATGGATGGATGGATGGATGGATGGATGGACAGGTCATTAGGGGGATGAATGTGATGGTCATGTTAATCATGGAGAGATGAATGGGTGCTGTGTGGCCGAGCGGTCTAAACTGACCCAATCCAAATTGGAGTCGTTGGCCTTGGACGGCAACTCATCTAAGAGAAGGCTAACTTTGAATTCAAACAAGGAGCCAGAATGATTGTGGGCCCTCAAACATAGAAAAGAAAAAAGAAAGAAAGAAAGGAAGGTTCATATTTCCTCATGCAAAAAATTACCCTTTACTGAACTAATGTATATAAACACACACACACTTGTTTCCATTACTTTCCTTTAATGTTTTACGGTTTTTTTTTAATTATACTATTTTTTCAAATAACTGAAAGTAACTCTCTATTTGTATTGGAAACGTTTAATGAAATCTCCCTTGTGTTTTGCATATGATGGAACATTGTTAAATCCCCATAGAGTAGTCCTTGTTTTATTGAGCCACTGACGTCACCTAGACCTGTGGATGAAATGAGAAAACGGGTCAATTTCAATTCGGTTGTTAAACTATAGCCAGTAAATGAATGAAATAGCGAAACGAGGTATGTGGAAGCTTGAAATAAGATAACAGGACAAAAAACAAGGACGTTTCGGCATAAAGCCTTCTTCAGCCAACAATAGAAATGAAAATATAACAGAGAAAAAAGCAGTCCTTTCATTTATTTCATTTATAGCCAGTAGAGTGTGGTCATTTTATAACAAAACACATGTACATTTGGTTTTGTATTGGGTCCCTTCGAGAATTGATCCGTAAAATTTCATGTTAATTGGGCGACTCTTTGAAAAGTTGAGAAGTTATTTTCTTTTTATTTCTTTTTTTATTTATTTATTTATTTATTATGCTTGAATTTGATATAACTCAGGGTGTTCGTATGTCCAAACATAATAGAAAAGTGGTACAAAAACAATGACAGTGCAAAAATAACAATGAGAGTTTAGACAATATCAATGACAGTGAAGTCACAAACAATTGCGTTGGAAATGCATCACCATAAAGATAATCAGAATAAGATACATAGTCAATCGTATAAGAGGTCGTTCGTAAAATACGTCACGTTCAAGGGGAGGGGGGTGAGAATTTGTGACACGTTGTGACAGCGGGGGGGGGGATCAAAAATTTGTGACCTGGCCTTTTTTTTTTTTATCCAAAATTTTCTAATTGAAAAATATTTATTCAATTAATTTTAAAAATATTATTTGAGGTCAAATTTGCACCAGGTATTTTAAGTGCAGTGAAACTCAGTCACTCACACCTTCTTGGCATATCGAAAAATGACGCAAAAACTGTTGTGGCCATTTGACATGCAACTTCGGGAGGACTTCGTTGTTTTGCGTCTTACGTCCCAGCTTTCTAATACACTACATCTTAATCTATTATGGGAAAATGTTAAAGAATAAATTTGTGACACTTTGTGACAAGGGTGAGGGGGGGGGTCTGAAAATGTCATTTTTGGCGTGACGTAACTTGCAAAGACCCCCTAAAACTACTTAATAAATCGCAACAATGACGTCGTCAAACTGTGCATAGTTGTAAACAGAAAACGTGCACTCACACACAGGAGAGTTCTCCGTACTTGTAATCCAAACGGACCAGAAGTCAAGAGTCCAAAATGTCAAGTAATTCTAAATATAGAACGGACACGTGCAATGTCAATAGGTACACTAATATGACTGCAGTACATACCTACATGACTACAGTGCACACCAATATGACTGCAGTGCACACCAATATTACTACAGTGCACAATAATATGACTGCAGTGCACACTAATATGATTACAGTGCATACTAATATGACAGCAGTGCAGACTAATGTGACTGCAGTACACACCAATATGACTGCAGTGCATACTAATATGACTTTAGTGCACACCAATATGACTTTCAGCACATACTAATATGACTGCAGTGCACACTTTTATGACTGCATGCATACCTACATGACTACAGTGCACACCAATATGACTGCAGTTCACACTATTATGACTTCAATGAACACTGGTATGACTGGTGCACACCAATATGATTGTAGCGCAAAAAGTAACAAAATTAAACAACTGACTGCTATTGGTGCACTCAAAGGGGTGGAGTGGGAAGCATCATTCACAAGGTACGCACTGGGAGGACCTGCACTCATTGCTTAGTTTTTTATAACTTTGTTTATATTTTTTTTCATGTAAATTTATTTATTTTTCATTTCATGACATTTATTCACCAAAAAAAAAAAGAAAAGAAGACTCGAGGTCACGTGATAATATTAAACTTACAGGAAAGAAGCAGATTGGGGTATCGATCCTCGTTTCTCTCTTTGCGTCACTAGACATGTGAAGTTTCGATGCTATTCTAAGCTTGGGTATGACTCTAGTTCGTATTCGAAGCAATGAACCGCAACGGCAACTAGGAGACAATTCCCCAGCAGAAATGTGTAGAATCCCCAGCCTAACCTAGACATAGATCAATAAACGTCTTCATGAAATAGAGATTGGTCTTAATCAAAGATATTGATTTTAATCATATAAAGATTGTTTTTAACCAAATATTGATTTGTTTTAATCAAATATATGCATTGGTCTCAATCAAATATAGATTTGCCTTAATCAAATATAAATTTGTCTTAATCAAATATAGATTGGTCTTAATCAAATATAGATTAGTCTTAATCATATATAGATTGGTCTTACTCTAATATAGATTTGTCTTAATCAAATGTAGATTGGTCTTAATCAAATATAGATTGGTCTTAACCATACATAGATTGGTCTTTTCAAATATAGGTTATCTATCAAAGTAAAAGTCTCCAAATTTTAAAGTATAGCAGGGCTGGACATGGCTGTCGGGGAGGATCCCAGTGAGACACCAGGTCACGTGATGTTTGTGCCACTTCTTAATGACAGTAGAACATGCGTCTGAAAAACTCTTTTTCCAGATTTTGTCCCAGGCAACTAGGACACTCCACGGAAGTCAATTGATTAGTTTGAGGGCACTATATTTTGATGCTAGTGTATTACTCCACTCGTCCACTGAAGGCTTGTAAATGTTTGCTTTGCTTGTTTGTACATGTTAACTTTCAGATTGGTTCTATCTTCAATGACATGATTGGTTTCCAATGAACAATTAAATTGCTTACCAGGTCTCTTTGATCCCATCTTTTCCAAGGGGTTTGACCGCTGTAGGGAACAGGATGATGATGAGGAACCCCAGAAGAGCTGAAATATTTAGGAAAATTTCTATAATTAGGGGAGGGGAGAGGGTGGGTGTCTTTCTTTATATTTAGATTTTCATTTATTTATTTATTTACTAAAGATTAAGATAACCTATTTTGAACTTGTTTTTAAAAGTTAAAGGATGGCACGACATGGTAATAACACATGATAACATCACATTAAAATCACATGGTAACATCACATGGTAACATCACAAGATAACATCACATTAAAATCACATGGTAACGTCACATGGTAACATCACATGATAACATCACATTAAAATCACATGGTAAATCACATGGTAACATCACATGATAACATCACATTAAAATCACATGGTAACATCACATGGTAACATCACATGGTAAGTCACATGGTAACGTCACATGGTAACATCACATGGTAACATCACATAGTAACATCACATGGTAAAATCACATGGTAACATCACATGGTAACATCACATGGTAACATCACATGGTAACATCACATGTAAGTCACATGGTAACATCGCATGGTAACGTCACATGGTAACATCACATGGTAACATCACATGGTAACATCACATGGTAACATCCCATGGTAACATCACATGGTAACATCACATGGTAACATCCCATGGTAACATAACATGATAACATCACATTGGTAACATCACATGGTAACATCACATTAACATCACATGGTAACATAACATGATAACATCACATGGTAACATAACATGATAACATCACGTGGTAACATCACAATAACATCACATGGTAACATAACATGATAACATAAGATGATAACATCACATGGTAATATAACATGATAACATAACATGATAACATCACATGGTAAAATCACATGATAACATCGCATGATAACATCACATGATAACATCACATGATAACAGCACATGATAACATCACATTAAAATCACATGATAACATCACATGATAACATAACATGATAGCATCACATGATAGCATTACACGATAAAATTCCATGATAACATAACATGATGATAAAAGTTGACATAGAGTTAAACAACAAATGTTGACCTGCGACGGCGTAGCATATGGAGAATATCTTAGTGACTCGCAGCATGCGGAAGTAGATGGCCACACACTCGCAGATGGACGTCGTAAACAGGATGGCTAACATTAAGTAGGACACGTACTGGACTATGGATCGCCATTCTTAAACAGAGATAATATGGAAATAGAATAGAATAAATTAAGGACCGCGTTACAGATATAATTGAACAAGTTATGCGCAACTATATGGAAGTAGTCAATTTTTTTAACCTCTGTGCTGTGTATGTGACAGGTCAGGTATGTCTAGTCCGACTATGTAAAAGAGTATATTCATTGTTGAACTATGTCTGTAAATGGCTGTTTGTCAAATAGTTAGTTGTTGTTTGCCTGTCAGAAATATGTAGCTCGCAGTATGTCAGGTTATTGGGTGTCTGGTTGTGACTGAACTGCTTGATTGTTATATGCAGCGTGGTTGCTACTGGCAGTATGTCAGGTAATTGGATGTCTGGTTGTGACTGAACTGCTTGATTGTTAGATGCAGCGTGGTTGCTACTGGCAGTATGTCAGGTAATTGGATGTCTGGTTGTGACTGAACTGCTTGATTGTTAGATGCAGCGTGGTTGCTACTGGCAGTATGTCAGGTAATTGGATGTCTGGTTGTGACTGAACTGCTTGATTGTTAGATGCAGCGTGGTTCCTACTGGCAGTATGTCAGGTAATTGGATGTCTGGTTGTGACTGAAGTACTTGATTGTTAGATGCAGCGTGGTTGCTACTGGCAGTATGTCAGGTAATTGGATGTCTGGTTGTGACTGAAGTACTTGATTGTTAGATGCAGCGTGGTTACTACTGGCAGTATGTCAGGTAATTGGATGTCTGGTTGTGACTGAACTGCTTGATTGATAAAAGCAGCGTGTTTGGGTTGAAGAATATCAAGTAAAACTCCAACCCCAAGTTAACAATATTGAATATTTTATTTACACTGTACATCAATTCACAATAGCAGACTAGGCTTGAGTTTACATGAATAACGAACGTTTTCTCAGCCGACTAATTACTGTTTAAAGGATTTCTTCTCTATCCCAATGTACAACAGGTCCAGTAAGCTCAAGCTCTCGACTACTCTCTAATCGTTCACTCTATATATCTCTATACGTCATAGTATATATATACCTAATAATTTTAAAACATTTTTAAAAAAACGTTCAATCAATAAGGAAAAACATCTTTGGGATATGCACAAACGTCTTTGTGACATGGACAAAAAAGTGATTGTAGCATGGAGACAAACACCATTGGGACATGGACACAATCGTCATTGGGTCAAGGACACAGACGTCCTTTGGACATCGACTTGCATGCAATCTAAACAGGTAGCTTTAACTATTCATTATGCATGACTTGGCGGAGAGAATATCCGTAGTGACCTACCTGACTGGACGGATGGATTATCCGTGGTGACCTACTTGAGTGGACGGAAGGGTGATCTGTTGAAGGGTGATGCAACTGTCTGATTGAAGGATTATCTGCAGTGACCTACCTGAAGGGTTCCCGATTCGGTGACAGTCTTTGGACAGACATTTGCTGAACAGGCCCTCTGTCTCCCAGACTATATCCAGCTTTAAATAGAGTCACAAGAATCGATCGGTTTATGGCAATCACATACGTATGTAGATAAAATTGATGGATGAATGAATGGATTTATGAATAGATGGAATGGGTAGCTGATTGGTGGATGGGTGGAGCGACGGGTGGAAAAACGGATGAACTAACTTTACTAACGGAACAATGGATTTAATGCAATACACAGTTGGTGTAATGTTCTATATGATGAATGTAATGTTCTATATGATGGGAGTGATGTTCTATACGATGGGTATAATGTTCTATATGATGGGTATAATGCTCTATATAGATGGTTGTAATGTTCTCTATGAGACCTAAGAAGCTGTACTTACTGCACTAACTTTGGTCCACTCCGTAGAGAAGATCCCAATGATGATCAACACCGTGGTGACGCTGATCAAAGTAATCGTCAAAATTTTTCCTATTGGAATCCCCGGTGACATTGTCCAATGGCGGCTGCAGCCTAGTACACAAATTGTACAGAGAGAGAACTCAGATAGCTTGACTGTGTTTTTTATGTGTATGTTAGTAATTTTTGGAAGGTAGAATTGTTTTAAGTGTTATAACACAGCAACAAAACAAAAACAAAATAAAGCTGGTTATCGAGAAATCTATGGATGCGAAATAATAATGATAATAATAATAAGACGTCTTATATAGCGCGGTACCCCAGCCTAGGGCTGGGCTCACCGCGCTGTACATAAAAATTTTATCAAAAGAGACATAATTATGACATTAAAATAAAATACATTTATGAAAAAAAAAGAACAGCAATGTATATTCACCCACCCCATCACATAACTTTTACAAGACAAACCATGGACAAATCTGATTATTTCATGATTATCTCAGTGCCGTCTTCCAAGAGACCGCAACTGCTTCATTGTATTAATGATGGGGCATATTGTCATTGCTAAAATCACTTGTACATGATAGAAGGCTGAAGGTAACGGTGGGGGGCCCAGTGCATTAATTTTGCCCAGGGCCCTGCTCCCTCATGAAACTAGTAAATTCAGGCATACTACACCAAGGCCGAAACGAACTTACCACTCGTTAGGTTTTAAAGCATTGACTGCCTCAGTCCCGAAGGAAGAGTTCAATGTTAATCTGCATTAAGCAGCATTGTATCCAGCTCTGGGCCGGTGTTCGTGTTGTTCATAGAGCTAAGCTTCGCGGTCATCATTGTATGTTTGTGAAATGTTTAACTGCATGTTCCCTGTTCGTTGTATATTTGAAATAAGTTTAACTGTTAACATTCGTGATATATTCCCTGTTAGCTCTGCGATGTAAATATTTTTAGCGTCCGCCTTGATGGTGTTGTTGTTTTTTTAATGAATGGCCGCACCTTGGTGTGCACACATTGGCTCTACATAGTGCGAGGTGTGCACACATTGGCTCATGCATTTTTGCATTCCTAACAAAGTATTACTGTTATCTATTTTTTCATGACTGGATTAGTTATGTAAATTATTGTATATTAATTGTACATAATTAAATCATATTCTATTATACATTAATTAATTAAAAATGAAATGGATTGGACACTGAAAATCTTGTTCCGATTAAAATTCACACAAAATATATCTGGAATCATTCTCTCTCGCTATCTCTTTTTCACTCTCTCCCTCTCTTTGCTCAAAAACTATTAATTAACTAGCTAGAACCCGGCATGCATTGCAATGCCACTCAAAGAAAAAAGTGTTTGTGTTTTAATTACGTTCCTGGAGTAATTTTTAAATAGAAAATATTTTTTGTTTTTTTTTTCCATCTTGTGCTTACACAAATAAATTAGAAGGATTTTCGATGCGTAAACAGGCCACTTACAGCTGTCCACGTGAGAAGCATGGATTTTGAAAATTTAGTCCACACACTTGTAGCGATTGATCCACCCATGCAGCAGCTCTGTTTGAAATTATATTTATATAGCTCACACATTTTTGTTTTTAAAATTAAGCCCCCGGCCCCAAACACGAAATTTTAAAATGTTTGAACTAATTCAGAAACCTAATTATTATGCAACACAAACTGAAATGTCGCTTGTATTTACTCAATTCCTTCAACCAATGCAATAGCTCTGTTTGAAATTGTAGGTGTATAGCTCCTCTAATGTAAGAAAAAAATAATTTGCGGGTTTGCGCACAACAAATTACTAAAATCTTATCGCAAATGGATGACTGGTACAGGAAAACATACGGAAATTATATTTAGCTCATGACAGTATGATAGGAAAAAAAAATATATGGCCTTGGGCCCAAAACAGAATATTGTAAAATGTGTGTAATAATTTAGAAAAATTTACGGGCGTATGCACAACAACTCAAAAGTTTATCGCAATCGGATAAATGATACAGGAGCGCATACGGGACATATATACATATATTATATTATATATGTAAAAACATAGTATACTGAATAAAAGATACCATTTGCGCAACTATTCAAGGAAGCGTTCTGTCTACCATCCGCCCCTCCATCCATCCGTCCATCCGTCCCTCCATCCGTCCATCCATCCCTCCATCCGTCCATCCATCCCTCCATCCATCCGTCCGTCCATCCGTCCATCCGTCCCTCCATCCCTCCATCCATCCGTCCATCCATCCGTCCGTCCATCCATCCGTCCATCCATCCCTCCATCCATCCGTCCATCCATCCCTCCATCCATCCGTCCATCCATCCGTCCATCCATCCATCCATCCCTCCATCCATCCGTCCGTCCATCCCTCCATCCATCCATCCCTCCCTCCGTCCATCCATCCCTCCATCCCTCCATCCATCCGTCCTTCCATCCGTCCATCCGTCCCTCCATCCCTCCATCCATCCGTCCATCCATCCGTCCGTCCATCCATCCGTCCATCCATCCATCCATCCATCCGTCCATCCATCCCTACATCCATCCGTCCATCCATCCGTCCATCCATCCATCCATCCCTCCATCCATCCGTCCGTCCATCCCTCCATCCATCCATCCCTCCATCCGTCCATCCATCCCTCCATCCCTCCATCCATCCGTCCATCCATCCATCCCTCCATCCATCCGTCCATCCATCCATCCCTCCATCCATCCGTCCATCCATCCATCCCTCCATCCGTCCGTCCATCCCTCCATCCATCCGTCCATCCATCCGTCCGTCCATCCATCCCTCCATCCATCCGTCCATCCATCCGTCCATCAATCCATCCCTCCATCCCTCCATCCATCCATCCCTCCATCCATCCATCCGTCCATCCATCCCTCCATCCATCCATCCGTCCTTCCGTCCATCCATCCGTCCATCCATCCATCCGTCCATCCATCCCTCCATCCCTCCATCCCTCCATCCCTCCATCCATCCATCCATCCATCCGTCCATCCATCCGTCCGTCCATCCATCCCTCCATCCCTCCATCCCTCCATCCCTCCATCAATCCATCCCTCCATCCATCCATCCATCCATCCGTCCATCCATCCGTCCGTCC